CCAGTTTCAATATTAATCATCTTCCAATGGAAAATCATCACCTTGAGAGTGCATTCAGGGTTCCTTGTGTTAGGGACTTAAGAATTGGAGGCGAGGACCCCAGGCTTAGCTATAGGGCTCAAAGGGAGCCAGTGACCCATCCTAAAGGTCTCAGCTGGGGAAGGGCCAGTGGCTGCCCCAGGGTCGCACCAGCATGTCCAATAGAGAAGAGGTTTTCTATATCTTCAAGCACTTCTATCATAGTCTGTGTTCAAAGTGTAAACTGTACAGTAATCAGCCTTGTGTATATGAAAAACAATAAATACTATGCAAACCAATAGAAACACTTTAGCAGTATGTACCAAGCACTAACAGCTCAGCTCCTGAGGACTTCTCCAGGCTGCGGGAGAAGGAGCTACAGGCTGTCTTTCAGTGAAAGAGGAAGGAAGGAAGTAGGGCTAGTGAATGTATCTGCCAGTTCTAGATGTCAGGACCACCCTAAGGTCTCCCAGAGCCAACTTGGTGCTCGAAGTCCAGGCAGCCCGCAGGCTGGGGGTACAGGCTCTAGGTTCCAGGCTGGCCAGCCCCAATGCCTCCCCTTTGCAAGGCTTCTGACCACGTGCCCAGTGGGAGGAGAGCCGAAGGAGGAGGGAGCTGCTGACCACCAAGAGACCCCGGGCTGGCCAAGAGACCCTTCAAAGCCAGGCTCTGGGTCAGGGGAGGAAGGAAATCGACAGCTGGCCGTTCCTCGCCTCGGTGCCATCAGGGAAGAGCCTTAAAGTTATACTAGAGCCTCCGGCAGAGGGAGGCCCGAATCAGCACAATCCGGCCCCGTCCTTGCCCGGGCGGGCGCCCTCTAGGGCCAGGAGAGAGACTCTGATAGGCTCTTCTCCTCTCAAAGAGCCACTGTGGCGGATGTCCAGTCACCTTCCTCCCCTGCCTCTCTTCGAAGGTGTCCTCTGGACACATTTAAACCTTCCAAGTAGCACAGAAGCGCCCTCAATGTCAGAGACCCCAAGGCTCTGGAGACAGACGGCAAAGGTCTCGGGCGGAACGGGGACAACCGGGCCTCCGCCGTCTGGCCCGGTGGTGCCCTACCCGGGCCAAGTGCGGTCGACTCGAGGGCCGCGTCCCGGACGGGCCGAGGCACTCGGGTCCGTCCGGGGCGGGGTTTGCTTTTGCTCTCCCAGTGGGGCGGGCAGGGGAGAGGAAGTGCCACCTCCCGGCCCCAGTTCTCGCCGAGGGCTGCGTCTGAGCAGCTGCAGGCTCGCAGCCCCCTCTTGCATGGTGCGAGACCCAACGCTGCTCGGACGCGGACACGGGGCGCAGCGGTGGCCGCCAACGCCCCGCCCCGCCGCAGCGCCGCGCCGCGCCGCGCCGCGAAGCAGAGGCGCCCCGGCTCCCGGCCTGCGGCAGGAGAGGCCAGGCAGCGCGGCCAGGGACCGATTCCGTGAAGGCTCAAGGAAGACAGGCGCAGGGCTCGCCTCCTCCGCCTCGATCCTGTCCCTTCCTCTCCCGGGTCGCCGCTGCAGCTGAACCCAGTAGCCCCTCTTAGCGCCCCGCGTGGGCCCCGCGGCTCCAGGCTCTGCTTTGGCACCTTCCGCTCCGTCTGGCATGGCTGCTTGGCCCGCCGGCCCCAGGCCCTCGGTGGCATGGCTGCACGCTCCCGCTGCTAGTAGGAGCTGTTTAGGGGAGGAGTTTGGGGTCTCCACATGATGCCTAGAGAATGCTGCAGTCTGCACATTAGACGCTTTTTAGAAGTTTTGAAATTACCTTGATTTTTTTAATTGTTATGAAAAACAAATCATTTCTTGACTCTCCCATGCTCTGTTACTGGGAGAGTATGCCCCCTCCCCACTCTGATGTATAGACCATTCTCCCTACACCAGCTGAACAGATGTCAAAATTAATAAAGAAATTGACTCATGACACAGGGCTCCATCTCTGCTTCCTGGCTCCTCTTTGGGACTTGTGCTGGGGCAAGAGTAAAGCCTGGGTTGGGGTGTAGAGGGGTCAATAGGTGGGATCAGAAGCCTGAACCCCAAAGAGGGGTCCACCAATTCTTCCTGAAAGCTTGGACAGCTCCTTAATTTAAACTGCCCACAAACCCCCAGAGAAAGGATAGCCTAAAGGCTACCATGAAATGGGGAGAAGTTGGAGGTCTGGTAAGGGACTCCACAAACTACCAGGATATGGCCAATCCAGGCCCAGGGCTAGTATACACTGAGTGACATTCTAGCTCTTCCTGTGAAGGCATCTGGTCCTGCGCCCCATGGCATTAAATGTTCCAGAACCAACCCTTGCTATAGAGAGGATATGGCCCTGTTTCTATCTAGTTTCTAATACTTTATGCAAGGTTGGTCACCACTCTGGCCTCAGTTCCTCATGGATCAAATGGAATGAATTCAGCAGTTGCTAAAGTCTCTTCAGTTTGTCATCCTGGAGTTTTGGACCTTTAGTCTTAGCATTAAATAAGAATCAAAATTTGTAGAAGACTTCTTTCTTGGTAAGTTCTCATTATTAGGGAATGAATAATTCACAGTTCCAAGGTCCCTGGAGCATCCCCAGCTCTTGCTCCACCCCAAAAAGAACTCTTGGAATCTGAAAGGCCACCCAGAACAATGAGCCCCTTATTGCTGTGCATTTATATTACCCAGAAGGCTTTTATAAAAGGTTTCAGAATCACAGTTGCATAGGTGGGATCCTGTGGGCATCCCTGGGAATCAGAACTAACTTCCAAAATGATGGTAGAGAGCGGCCTAGTAGAAAAGCCAACTTAGATGAATAAGAACTTATCTTTCTTACTGGACCTGGCTGTGTATACCTGTAATCCCAGAGACTCAGGAGGCAGAGGCAGGAGAATTGCAAGCTTGGGCAACTTAGCAAGACTCTGTCTCAAAAAATAAAAAGGGAGGGGGAGGGAGAGGGCGGGGGAGTTACACCTACATGTAAAAATAAAGAAAGAAAGGGCTGGGGATATAATTCAATGCTAAAGTACACCTTGGTTCAACTCTCAGTATCATCCAAAAAAAAAAGAAAAAAAGAAGAAGGAGGAGAAGAACCATTTTTCTTGTTTATAATTCAAATTTATAGAAAAATCATCTCACACCCTTTATAAGGTCTTCCTTAAATTAACTGAAATATGTGCTACAGAGAGTGGCTCAGAGAGTCTTGCCCTCCCCAGCCCTGGACCCTCTGCCTTCTACTGGAAACTAACAGAAGGCCAGCAAAGGGGTACTTATAGTCCCTCATGAGCACAGACCATAAGTGATAAGAGAGTGAACTCTGCAGAGCCCATGGACTGGTCAGCAAGGGCTTGGGGACTTCCAGGCAGAGGGAGGGCAGAAGTTCATCTGACAGTCACTAGTTTTTCTGTCATTTTGCATTTTCAGACAAGTAGCAGACTGGTTCTTCTTAGAGAATAGCATTCAGGAAAGAATGCTGCCCAGGGGCTGGGGATGTGGCTCAAGTGGTAGCGCCTTGCCTAGCATGCATGAGGCACTGGGTTCGATTCTCAGCACCACATAAAAATAAAATAGATATTGTGTCCACCTAAAAAACTAAAATATAAAAAAAAGAATGCTGCCCAAACCAGGAATAAACTTGTTTCTTGGAAAGTGGGCTCTGATTCCTCTGCACCTCAATTTCCTTGTCTGCACCTCAATTTCCTTGTTTGTAAAATGAGAGATTGCCCCAGTAGAGCCTCATACAGTATAAATACTCAAGGAAGAAGGGGGAAAAAAAGCATATGAGATTTAATCCAGTTCCATGAATCAAATATTTACTGAGCCCCAACTGAATCCCAACCGAGTGTTTGACACATGGCTCCACCACGGAAGCAGGGGACATCTCAGCATCAGAGATTTCAAACCCAGACACCAAGTGAGATGGAATGTGGCTATTGCTCTAGCAGAGACACAAATGAGGAAGAGATCCTGGTGGAGGGGATCAGGGAAGGCTGTCCAGAGACAGAGGTGAGAACACACATGTGTACCACCACCTTTTCAGCTTCAGTGGAAAATGCACAAACCCACTACCCTGAGAGCTACCCACTACCCACCCCCGATCCAATCTGCCCATCAGGCTCTAAAATACTCACAGGCATTTTCTTCCCCGCAAGAAAGCAGACATTTCCCAGCCTCTGCACTTACCCTGTCCCAGCACCAAGGAGGAAAGGGAAGCAGCCGGTTCTCCTGCATAGACTGGACATCAGCAGATAAAGGGGCAGGAGCAGCTCAGGAAAGTGACCTCTGAGCCCAGTCTCCTCACTCTCAGGAGGGCAGCTGCAGGAACTGTGACTTCCAGCTGCCTCAGGAACCTCCAGAGACCTCCCAGATACCCACCTTATCCTAGATGCTGGACTTGGGGGGGTCAGGTGGAATCTCTAATGATGAACAAGAGCGTCTAGAACTAATTCTCACTCTCTCTCTCTCTCTCTCTCTCTCTCTCTCTCACACACACACACACACACACACACACACACACACTGGCTGATTTTACAGTCAATCTTTCAAAGTGCAATTTGTCTAGCAAAAGCCAATGTGAGGCCCGTGTTGCCTCCACCAATGGCGGCACAGCTCTCA